CTATTGATATTTAGCTTTATATGCCCGTCATGCTCTCAGTCTGCGTTCCTATGGTACAGAGCACCGTAGTATTGTACCCATCTAACCCTCTTAATATATTCTCAGGGGTGTATTTACACTAAGAAGTATTACCCCCCTCTCGGTGTATATACGCTGAGAGTATACTTTAGTCTTTAATTATATTCCTGAAATATTGTCGCCGTAATTCACCAAATTTAAAACAAGGAAGCATATCAAATGACCATATTGAAAATAAAGTTTTCAAATTTGTATCAAAATTTTAGTTTCTATTTCTAAAGTTGTTAATATTGTACTGCTACTGTTGCCATTACTATGCCTACAACTCTTGCTACTACTTTTAGACAGTATCAATAAAATGTCTTACTCAAACTGCAAACAATTTTCTTTGTTAATTTACGTCAGGGTATAAAAGTCTGATTTACACTGCTGTACACCTGTTGATTCCGGCTAGAACTGTAGCAATTTGAATAATTTGCAAAGAATGAATCCCTCTAATACTAATTCAAACCTACAACAGTTACCTAGCTCTATGTTATCTGTTTACTGCAAGGTGAATTGAGGCATAAGATGACGATTCTTCAAGATGCTATCTACAACAGTTGTATAGCTTCATCTTAATAATTTACTATTAGGTGAACAGAGGCATCAGGTGACCATTCTCTAGGATGCAACCCACACTACTCGCCATCTCCCAGGTACTTATTTAGCGCAAGGTGAACAAATGCCTCAGATGTAAAGAAACGTGCCCAAATGTCTCGTCCTGCCAGGGAGTCGAAGCCATTTCAATTATGAGCCGAATGCGCAGACTACTCTGCTACAGGTAACCTTATCACTTCCTCTATTGCTGAAAAAAAACTGTTTATTGCCTATAAGGGCAATTTAGGGAGAGAGAGAGAGAGAGAGAGAGAGAGAGAGAGAGAGAGAGAGAGAGAGAGAGAGAGAGAGAGAGAGAGAGAGAGAGAGAGAGAGAGAGAGAGAGAGAGTATGTTCACCCTACTTTTCGCAATATATTTCGATAGGTTTCGAGGCCTGGGTAAGGAGGGTCAATTGGACACCTATCCTCAAAAAGATGCCCCTGAGGCAGTAATTGGGGACATGATTGTAAATTAGTCAGTTATGTTACAGATAAAACTAGTAAGATGAGTTATGTTAAGGAAATGCTTAATAAGTTAGACTGCTAACTGAAGTCTGAAGTCGCATGTTCCTTCTGCCACTTATTCAATACCTACTGAAGCTGCAATGTTATGTATAATAAGAGATTATTTAACAGGTAATACATAAAACCCCAAAATTTTTTTGATGCCGTCTTTTGACAAATTAATTGAACAAATTAAGTAAGTTATATATTGAGGAGCTTTCTGAAATTCGAGAAAAATTATCATGCATATTCACTAAGTAATTGTTTGTCATATTACGATTTAGTTAATTTTCATTATACGGTCACAAAATATATGTAATTTAGAGATCCGGCATTCGTAATGAAAGCGCATAGTTGAAGAAGTAGACCTTAGCGAGTCTTCAGAGCGAGGTGTGGTCATCGTAGCCTCTTTTGCAACAATGCAGGTCACTGCAGGAACCTGTCCTGCTGGGTGCTGGTCCAGGTATAAATAAGAGCAGCAGCCAGGAGCTGAGCATCAGTTGTGGTCGATACTTCATCATGAACACTAAGGTACGAAGTTCTGCCTCTAACTTTGCCTCCATGACCAACCTTTGTAAACTGCTTCTGTGGCCCTTGAAAATCTCTTGTGTGGCAAACAGACGCTTCAAAGATTTTAGCAGCTTAAAACTTGATTTCAGCAGAAATAATTCCCTGTGTTAAATACTAACACCACGAGAGACAAATGTCGTCAGGAAAAGCGACAAAATTGACTAAATCATGCATTCATTTACAATTTGAAGTGAGAAATCAAGCTAGGGAGATGATATGTTTATTTGGTATCCATGAGAGAGATGTTGGTGGTTATAGTATAGTTATTATTTGTTCCAGGTACTCATCCTGCTGGGTTTGGTGGCTGCGGTCGCCGCCGACAAGCGTCCGGCCCCCTCCTTGGCCTACGGTGCTCCACGGGTAAGTCACTTAGATGAATTATTATGTCAATATCACAATACATGTTCGATCTTGTTAACATACGATACCTGGCAATACTAGACATAACATCTTTATATCTGCCAATTTTAGACCTACTAATCTTAGATCTGACAATCCCCAATCAACGGGTTTGGAAGACATGATTCATTAGCTAACAAACTCTAAATATTTTCAGGCTTCCTCTGAGGAGTTTGAATCTCCCAAGTATGGCTTCGACTGGGCTGTTCAAGACAGCGAGACCGGCAACGACTTCGCCCAGCAAGAGACCCGCGACGACGACAACACCAGAGGGTCGTACACCGTACAGCTTCCCGACGGTCGTCGCCAGACCGTGACTTACGTCGTGGACGGTGACTCTGGTTACGTGGCTGACGTCCAGTACCAGGGTGAGGCTCGCTACCCCGACTCTGATGAGGTCAGGCCTCCCAGTCCCCGCTACGGAGCTCCGTAAATGATCTTGAAAACGACGTCCACCAGCGATGATTGATGGTTACAAGTGACAACACTTTCTTAATCTCAGCCGCTGGTGGAGGCCAAGCGACACCATCTTCCCCGGTCCTTTCCTTCATAACTTATTTCCTTCACAACTATATTGTATTGTAAATAATTGTGAACCAAAACTATTTATTAAATAATGCATAACTTAAACTGTAATTTTGTCTGAATTCTTGCATAAAACTTTATTTTTTTGTTTGCATGTATTATTAATATTGTATTGGAAGACAATAATGACACTATAGACGAGGGAAGATAATCCACGTAGAACTTTAACTAATACACAGCGCCTCATGCCACGGCTGAAGGCTAAACGCCGCACCTCATACCGTGAGGGAAGCCTAAAAACAACATGTCATGAACAAATCCACAAGGGCCGTGACGAGGATGCTCCCGGACGCAGGTTCGAATCCTCGTCACGGCCCTTATGGATTTGTTCATTTGATACATCACGTTAGTGTGATCTCTGTGTGTAACAACACCTCATACTCTGATGGAAATCTAAACACAGGCACCTTACATACTTTCGGACGTCCAAACATATCGTGAAAGAAGCGGGTGGGGGGGGGGGATGAGATGGGAGGAGTGAGGGGAAGCGACACAAATTAAAGAAAAATAATTGATTATTAAATAACTTGCAATTAAAAATTGTATTATACAACCGGCCAACAGTTACACTCAGCGTTGTTGCAAATTTTCCAAGATATGTAAAAATAAAAAACTTTTGAAAACTGTTAATGTTGAAGCTCATGAAGCTTGTGAAACCTTCTAAACTTTCTATCACAATCTCAGAAAATAGGGAAACGGTAAATCTGGTTCTAGTTGAAAAGTTGAACAATATTTGTATTTATATTTAGAATAACTAATCAGCAACTGGAAGTGCAATTAGGACAAGGAGCTCAGATATAGGGACAAGGAGCGGGGAAATAAACGCCAGAAGCTGAACTGTGAGAAGAAATAGGTACATGAGGACAAGGAGCTAGGATATGAGGACAAAGAATTTTTATATGAGGACGATGAACTGTGATATGAAAACAGAATGAAGGAACACTTTCTAAGAATTTTGGCTACTGACTAAAGCCTTTTAATTCAAATTCAAAATGAGCTGGTTATCTGCTACACCTATCATTGCTCTGAAATGATAGGCGTAGCAGATAATTTCCTAGATTATCACAGGAGTGCTAACTCAGGCTTTGGAACTGTTTCTGAAGGGATGAAACGGAACTCACAAACAACTTAACAAATAAGTATCATCTTGACGTCCACCGTTACCAAGTCAATCTCTGCTAAAGTACAATGTATGAAGAAACTTATGGTTTACCATACTCGAGATGCAACCCACAACATTGCCTAGGTCCAAGGTATATGTGTACTGCTAGGTAAACAGAGGCTTCAGGTCCAAGGGGCCCCTAAGGTAATTACTGACATTCCCCAGGATGTAGCCCCCAACAACTGTCTAACTTCAATGTAACTATTTACTGTTAGGTGAACAGAGCTATCAGGTGTAAATAAACGTTCCCAAACGTCTCGTCCTGCTCAGAGATGGAATTCAGGACCATTTGGTTGCATGCTAACAGCGCAGACCACTCCGCTACAGGTAACCTCAACACTTTATTTATTAACAAACAAGTTTGTGTATTGCATTTAATGGACTTTGTGTATAACATTAATGTTTAATACTGAAATACACTTTTCAGTAATCATAAAATTCCCGTTAGCAGTACAATACTCACTAGTAATTATAGAAAATCCTTATTAACCAAACAATACATATCCCTATTCACCCAGCATTAATTGGAGGCCTGGAGGTAAACCGAATGACTGGTCTCAAGGTAAGGTAAGGTCAGGAGGAGTTACAAGGAAAACTAGTAAGGTTTAAGATGAGTTATGTTAAGGAAAAGTTCAAAGGCTGCTAACAGGAGTCTAAAGTTGCATGTTCCTGCTGCCACTTATTCAACACTACAGCCTACTGTAGCTGCAAGGTCAACTAGAATGTTATTTGAGAGGTAATAGGAGGCCCAAACATTTTAGTGGTTAAGTCTTGTAAACAAATGTTGCTAATAAACATTACTAAATTAATTTATATCACGAAGTTTCCTATAATTCGACAATAGTTGTCATTCTCGTTTACTGAGTCAGTGTTTATTTCAAGTTATAGAGTGCAGAAGGAAAAATACAATATATAATCTTCATTATATAGTAAGATTATATCTATTTTAGAGATCCGATATTCGTAATGAAAGCGCATAGTTGAAGAACGAGACCTTAGCGAGTCTTCAGAGCGAGGTGTGGTCATCATAGCCTCTTTTGCAACAATGCAGGTCACTGCAGGAACCTGTCCTGCTGGGCGCTGGTCCAGGTATAAATAAGAGCAGCAGACAAGAGTTGAGCATCAGTTGTGGTCGATACTTCATCATGAACACTAAGGTACGAAGCTCTGCCTCTAACTTTGCCTCCATGACCAACATTTGTAAACGGCTTCTGTGGCCCTTGGAAAATCTCTTGCTGTCAAGCAGATGCTACAAAGATTTTAACAGCGTAAAGTTTAGTTTCAGCAACAGATTGATAATCTGTTGCTAACAGTTTTCCTTGTGTTAAATACTAACACCACGAGAGACAAATGTCGTCAGGATAATGCAACTAAATTGACTTAATCATGCATTCATTTACACTTTGCAGTGAGAAATCAAGCTAGGGAGAAGATATGTTTACTTGGTATCCACGAGAGAGTTGTTAGTGGTTATAGTATAGTTATTAATTGTTCCAGGTACTCATCCTGCTGGGTTTGGTGGCTGCGGTCGCCGCCGACAAGCGTCCGGCCCCCTCCTTGGCCTACGGTGCTCCACGGGTAAGTCACTTAGGTGAATTATTATGTCAATACCGCAATACATGTTCGATCTTGTTAACATGCGATACCTGGCAATACTAGACATAACATCCTTAGATATGCCAATCATAGACCTACTGATCCTAGACCTTACAATTAAGACAATGGGTTAGGAAGACATGATTCACTAGCTAACAAACTCTAAATATTTTCAGGCTTCCTCTGAGGAGTTTGAGTCTCCCAAGTATGGCTTCGACTGGGCTGTTCAAGACAGCGAGACCGGCAACGACTTCGCCCAGCAAGAGACCCGCGACGACGACAACACCAGAGGGTCGTACACCGTACAGCTTCCCGACGGTCGTCGCCAGACCGTGACTTACGTCGTGGACGGTGACTCTGGTTACGTGGCTGACGTCCAATACCAGGGTGAGGCTCGCTACCCCGACTCTGATGAGGTCAGGCCTCCCAGTCCCCGCTACGGAGCTCCGTAAATGATCTTGAAAACGACGTCCACCAGCGATGATTGATGGTTACAAGTGACAACACTTTCTTAATCTCAGCCGCTGGTGGAGGCCAAGCGACACCATCTTCCCCGGTCCTTTCCTTCATAACTTATTTCCTTTACAACTATATTGAATTGTAAATAATTGTGAACCAAAATTATTTATTAAATAACGCACAACTTAAACTGTAATTTTGTTTGAAATCTTGCATAAAACTTTATTTTTTATACGAATGATTAATATTGGATTAAAAGAAATAATGACACTATAGAAAAGATAAGATAAACTAAGAGTAACTCACGGGAGAGACTTCTCCCGGCACGCAGGGTGCAGTCGCACCTCCAAAGATCTCCAGTATCAGCTAATGATACTGGTAATGGCTCAAAAGGGCCACCACTTACGGGCTATTCATGCCCGTGCCACCTTTTGGGTGGCTTAATCTTCATCAATCAATCAAGAGTAACTATAAATAAAAACACAGAGCCTCATCTTGTGAGGGAAGACGAAACATAGCACCTTACATCCTTTCGGACGTCTAAACACCTCATATTGTTATAGAAGCGGGGGGGGGGAGGGTCGAATAAGTGTAGGGAAGCGACAAAAATGAAAAATTATTAACTGATTATTAAATAACTTGCAAATAAAAACTGTATTATGCAACAGGCCAACAGTTATACTCGGAATTGTTGCAAACTTTCCAAGATACGTGAAAACTTTTAAAAACTATTGAAAAGTGACAATGTTGAAGTTCATGAAGTTTGTGAAACCTAAACTTTCCATCACAATCCCAGAAAATATGGAAACGGTAAATCTGGTTCAAGTTGAAACGTTGAACAATATTTATACATAATTTGACCTGAAAGAGAGAGAGAGAGAGAGAGAGAGAGAGAGAGAGAGAGAGAGAGAGAGAGAGAGAGAGAGAGAGAGAGAGAGAGAGAGAGAGAGAGAGAGAGAGAGAGAGAGAGACGAGGGAAATGTAATTATGACGAGAAAGCGATCAGCCAGAATGACTAAACAGCAACTGGAAGTGCAATTAGGTCAAGGAGCTCATTAACGAGGAGCCCAGATATAAGCGCAAAAAGCTGACCTATAAGAAGGAACAGGGACATGAAGACGAGGAGCTGGGATATAAGGACGATGAGCTGGGATATGAAAACCAAGTGAAGCAACAATTTCTAAAAACTTGGCCTATTGACTAAATCCCTCTAATTCTAATTAAAAATGAGCTGTTATGCAGGCGATGAGTCACAATAACGTGGCTGAAGTATGTTGACCAGACCACACACTAGAAGGTGAAGGGACGACGACGTTTCGGTCCGTCCTGGACTATTCTCAAGTCGATTGACAACTTTTCCTAGGATGCAGCCCCCAACAACTGTCTAACTCCAGTGTAACTATTTACTGTTAGGTGAACAGAGGCATCAGGTGTAAATGAACGTTCTTAAACATCTCGTTTAAGAGACGTTCATCTCTGCCTAGAGATGGCATTCAGGACCATTTGGTTGCATACCAACTGCGCAGACCACTCCGCTACAGGTTACATAAATGCTTTATTTGTTAACAAACAAGTTTGTGTATTTTATTTAATGGCGTTTGTGCTATAACATTAATGCTTAATACTGAAATACACTTTTTCAGTAATCATAAAATTCCCGCTAGCAGTACAATACTCACTAGTAATTATAGAAAATCATTAATAACCAAACAATTCGTAATCCAATTCACCCAGCATTAACTGGGGACCTGGATGTAAACCGAATGATTGATCGTGCTATAGGGGAAACTAGTAAAGCTTAAGATGAGTTATGTTAAGGAAAAGCTCAAAGGCTGCTAACAGGAGTCTAAAGTTGCATGTTCCTGCTGCCACTTATTCAACACTACAGCCTACTGAAGCTGCAAGGTTATCTAGTAGATTATTTGAGAGATAATACGAGGCCCAAACATTTTAGTGTTATGTCTTGTAAACAAATGTTGCTAATGAATATTATTAAATTAATTTATCTATTGAATTTTCCTATAATTCGACAATAGTTGTCATTCTCGTTTACTGAGTCAGTGTTTATTTCAAGTTATAGAGTGCAGAAGGAAAAATACAATATATAATCTTCATTATATAGTAAGATTATATCTATTTTAGAGATCCGACATTCGTAATGAAAGCGCATACTTGAAGAACGAGACCTTAGCGAGTCTTCAAAGCGAGGTGTGGTCATCATAGCCTCTTTTGCAACAATGCAGGTCACTGCAGGAACCTGTCCTGCTGGGCGCTGGTCCAGGTATAAATAGGAGCAGCAGACAGGAGCTGAGCATCAGTTGTGGTCGATACTTCATCATGAACACTAAGGTACGAAGTTCTGGCTCTAACTTTGCCTCCATGTCCAACCTTTGTAAACAGCTTCTGTGGCCCTTGAAAATCTCTTGCTTCCAAGCAGACGCTACAAGGATTGTAACAGCGCAAAGCTTAGTTTCAGCAACAGATCTGTTGCTAACATTTCTCCATGCGTTAAATACTAACACCACGAGAGACAAATGTCGTCAGGATAATGCGACAAAATTTTCTAAATCATGCAGTCATTTATGTTTTGCAGTGAGAAATCAAGCTAGGGAGAAGATATGTTAATTGGTATCCATGAGAGAGTTGTTGGTGGTTATAGTATAGTTATTATTTGTTCCAGGTACTCATCCTGCTGGGTTTGGTGGCTGCGGTCGCCGCCGACAAGCGTCCGGCCCCCTCCTTGGCCTACGGTGCTCCACGGGTAAGTCACTTAGGGGAATTATTATGTCAATACCGCAATACATGTTCAATATTGTTAACATACGATACCTGGCAATACTAGACATAATATCTTTATATCTGCCAATCTTAGACCTACTAATCCTACACCTCATAATCCCAGACAATGGTTTTGGAAGACATGATTCACTAGCTAACAAACTCTAAATATTTCCAGGCTTCATCTGAGGAGTTTGAGTCTCCCAAGTATGGCTTCGACTGGGCTGTTCAAGACAGCGAGACCGGCAACGACTTCGCCCAGCAAGAGTCCCGCGACGACGACAACACCAGAGGGTCGTACACTGTACAGCTTCCCGACGGTCGTCGCCAGACCGTGACTTACGTCGTGGACGGTGACTCTGGTTACGTGGCTGACGTCCAGTACCAGGGTGAGGCTCGCTACCCCGACTCTGATGAGGTCAGGCCTCCCAGTCCCCGGTACGGAGCTCCGTAAATGATCTTGAAAACGACGTCCACCAGCGATGATTGATGGTTACAAGTGACAACACTTTCTTAATCTCAGCCGCTGGTGGAGGCCAAGCGACACCATCTTCGCCGGTCTTTTCCTTCATAAATTATTTCCTTCACAACAATATTGTATTGTAAATAATTGTAAACCAAAATTATTTATTAAATAACGCACAACTTAAACTGTATTTTTGTTTCAAATCTTGCATAAAACTTTATATTTTATAAGAATTATCAATATTGGATTAAAAGAAATAATGACACTATAGAAAAGATAAGATAAAGTAAGAGGAACTATAACTAAAAACACAGCGCCTTATCTTGTCAAGGAAGACGAAACACAGCACCTTACAGCTTTTCGGACGTCCAAACACCTCATATCGTTATAGAAGTGGGGGAGGGGGGGGCGGGGGGGGGGGAATAAGTGTAGGGAAGCGACAAAAATTAAAGAAAATTAAATGATTATTAAATAACTTGCAAATAAAAACTGTATTATGCAACAGGCCAACAGTTATACTCAGCATTGTTGCAAATTTTCCAAGATACGTGAAAACATTTAAAAACTTTGGAAAAGTGATAATGTTGAAGCTCATGAAGCTTGTGAAACCTTTTAAACTTTCCATCACAATCCCAGAAAATATGGAAACGGTAAATCTGGCTCTAGTTGAAACGTTGAACAATATTTATACATAATATGACCTGAAAGAGAGAGAGAGAGAGAGAGAGAGAGAGAGAGAGAGAGAGAGAGAGAGAGAGAGAGAGAGAGAGAGAGAGAGAGAGAGAGAGAGAGAGAGAGAGAGAGAGAGAGAGAGAGAGAGAGACGAGGGAAATGTAATTATGACGAGAAAGTGATCAGCCAGAATGACTAAACAACAACTGGAAGTGCAATTAGGTCAAGGAGCTCAGATATGATGACGAGGAGCTCATTAACGAGGAGCCCAGAAATAAGCGCAAAAAGCTGAACTATAAGAAGGAACAGGGACATGAAGACGAGGAGCTGGGATATAAGGACGATGAGCTGGGATATGAAAACCAAGTGAAGGAACAATTTCTAAAAACTTGGCCTATTGACTAAATCCCTCTAATTCTAATTAAAAATGAGCTGTTATGCAGGCGATGAGTCACAATAACGTGGCTGAAGTATGTTGACCAAACCACACACTAGAAGGTGAAGGGACGACGACGTTTCGGTCCGTCCTGGACCATTCTCAATTCGATTGAGAACTTTTCCTTGGATGCAGCCCCCAACAACTGTCTAACTCCAGTGTAACAATCGACTTGAGAATGGTCCAGGACGGACCGAAACGTCGTCGTCCCTTCACCTTCTAGTGTGTGCCCTGGTCATCAAAATGAGCTGGTTATCTGGTACACCTGTTATTGCTCTGAAATGATAGGCGTAGCAGATAATTTCCTAGATTATCACAGGAGTGCTAACTCAGGCTTTGGAACTGTTTCTGAAGGGATGAAACGGAACTCACAAACAACTTAACAAATAAGTATCATCTTGACGTCCACCGTTACCAAGTCAATCTCTGCTAAAGTACAATGTATGAAGAAACTTATGGTTTACCATACTCGAGATGCAACCCACAACATTGCCTAGGTCCAAGGTATATGTGTACTGCTAGGTAAACAGAGGCTTCAGGTCCAAGGGGCCCCTAAGGTAATTACTGACATTCCCCAGGATGTAGCCCCCAACAACTGTCTAACTCCAGTGTAACTATTTACTGTTAGGTGAACAGAGGCATCAGGTGTAAATGAACGTTCTTAAACGTCTCGTTTAAGAGACGTTCATCTCTGCCTAGAGATGGCATTCAGGACCATTTGGTTGCATGTCAACTGCGCAGACCACTCCGTTACAGGTCACATAAATGCTTTATTTGTTAACAAACAAGTTGGTGTATTTTATTTAATGGACTTTGTGCTATAACATTAATGCTTAATACTGAAATACACTTTTTCAGTAATCATAAAATTCCCGCTAGCAGTACAATACTCACTAGTAATTATAGAAAATCATTAATAACCAAACAATTCGTAATCCAATTCACCCAGCATTAACTGGGGACCTGGATGTAAACCGAATGACTGATCGTGTTATAGGGGAAACTAGTAAAGCTTAAGATGAGTTATGTTAAGGAAAAGCTCAAAGGCTGCTAACAGGAGTCTAAAGTTGCATGTTCCTGCTGCCACTTATTCAACACTACAGCCTACTGAAGCTGCAAGGTTATCTAGTAGATTATTTGAGAGGTAATACGAGGCCCAAACATTTTAGTGGTTATGTCTTGTAAACAAATGTTGCTAATGAATATTATTAAATTAATTTATCTATTGAATTTTCCTATAATTCGACAATAGTTGTCATTCTCGTTTACTGAGTCAGTGTTTATTTCAAATTATAGAATCTAGAAGGAAAAATACAATATATAATCTTCATTATATAGTAAGATTATATCTAATTTAGAGATCCGATATTCGTAATGAAAGCGCATAGTTGAAGAACGAGACCTTAGCGAGTCTTCAGAGCGAGGTGTGGTCATCATAGCCTCTTTTGCAACAATGCAGGTCACTGCAGGAACCTGTCCTGCTGGGTGCTGGTCCAGGTATAAATAGGAGCAGCAGACAGGAGCTGAACATCAGTTGTGGTCGATACTTCATCATGAACACTAAGGTACGAAGTTCTGCCTCTAGCTTTGCCTCCATGACCAACCTTTGTAAACTGCTTCTGTGGCCCTTGAAAATCTCTTGTTTCCAAGCAGACGCTACAAAGATTGTAACAGCGCAAAGCTTAGTTTCAGCAACAGATTGATAATCTGTTGCTAACATTTCTCCTTGTGTTAAATACTAACACAATAAGAGACAAATGTCGTCAGGATAATGCGACAAAATTTTCTAAATCATGCAGTCATTTATGTTTTGCAGTGAGAAATCAAGCTAGGGAGAAGATATGTTTAATTGGTATCCATGAGAGAGTTGTTGGTGGTTATAGTATAGTTATTATTTGTTCCAGGTACTCATCCTGCTGGGTTTGGTGGCTGCGGTCGCCGCCGACAAGCGTCCGGCCCCCTCCTTGGCCTACGGTGCTCCCCGGGTAAGTCACTTAGGGGAATTATTATGTCAATACCGCAATATATGTACGATCTTGTTAACATACGAAACCTGTCAATAATAAACCTGCCATTCTTAGATCTGCCAATCTTAGACCTACTAATCCTAGACCTGACAATCCCAGACAATGAGTTTGGAAGACATGATTCACTAGCTAACAAACTCTAAATATTTCCAGGCATCATCTGAGGAGTTTGAGTCTCCCAAGTATGGCTTCGACTGGGCTGTTCAAGACAGCGAGACCGGCAACGACTTCGCCCAGCAAGAGGCCCGCGACGACGACAACACCAGAGGGTCGTACACTGTACAGCTTCCCGACGGTCGTCGCCAAACCGTAACTTACGTCGTGGATGGTGACTCTGGTTACGTGGCTGACGTCCAATACCAGGGTGAGGCTCGCTACCCCGACTCTGATGAGGTCAGGCCTCCCAGTCCCCGCTACGGAGCTCCGTAAATGATCTTGAAAACGACGTCCACCAGCGATGATTGATGGTTACAAGTGACAACACTTTCTTATTCTCAGCCGCTGGTGGAGGCCAAGCGACACCATCTTCCCCGGTCTTTTCCTTCACAACAATATTGTATTGTAAATAATTGTGGACCTAAATTATTTATTAAATAATGCACAACTTAAACTGTATTTTTGTTTGTATTCTTGCATAAAAGTATCCTGCCTCCCCCCCTCTCCCCTTCTCTCAGAAAATATATTATTGAGAAACGCTGAAACAACTTTATGGGTCTCTCAGGAAATATATCATTGCAATTACTGAAAACTCCTAGGACATCATACAAGAATATTATGAATATATGAGAATATATTGAGAGCGAGGCGATGGGATCGATCCCGCGTTTCTCTACTCCCAATGTAATGTGTGTGTACCTGGGGAGTCCAGAGACGCCGGTTCCAACCTGCTGCATGAACTCAAGACGACAAAATATGATGGACTCAAGGCAACAAAGTGCGTCACAATGATTACCTAAGAACACTTTCACCTTGATCATGGAATGACATATCAAGACCAGTCACCTTAAGGGTGAAACTTCAGGGCCACACGGTGTTAAAATGTCATTATCATCTACCAACCACGAGCGGAAATATGTTAAACATTCTAACACTAATCTGGAATGTTGTGGGAAACGTGTGATATGTCAAGAGGCCAGACCATCCTCAGGTAGTGCTCCTCGAAGATGCCGCCGACCACAAAGAAGCATTCGAAATATTGTTAGGTTATAAAATAATATTAAGACGCAATATAATTGTGCGTACAGTCAGGCCTAGGTAGGTTCAGGATAAAGATTTGGGATGGCACGGTGAAAGGAATGGTGACCAACCACGTGGACGGTCGGGGATTGAACGCCGACCTACAAGAAGCGAGACTCGCTCTATCGTCCAGCCCAAGTGGTTGGGCAACCAAGATAGGTTACGTTAGGTGTTTGGGTTCTGTTTGCAATTATTTGCATTCATAGTAGGTAAGCAAGCATTCAAAGAGTGTTGCACTCTCGTGCGAAAAAAACCTGTTGAAGGGATTTCTTATTGAATGTTATCCATATCTAAAAAACGGGCTATTCAAGGATGGGGCTAGATTCACCAAACTCTGCAGGGTGACTGCTGGGCGTTAGGGGACATCATAGGGGGAATCGGAGTCGGCTCATGCCCTTTCAAAATCCAAATTCCAACCCTGCTAAAAATCAAACTCTGTCCCCCACTAACATTCATCATATTATTATCTAAATGATGCCCTCCATCACTGTTAACATCTACACTATACACGACCTGCGTCACTATAGCCACCTTCACTACACACTGCACTCCTCATTAACCATCTTCACTACCCGGGCACCGCTGGAGTACCCTTCTAAGCAGTGTATAGATTATGGGCACTCCCGACACTTAATCATGTTGAACATAATACGGATGAATCTTAATGAGGTTGGAATTTGGTATCAAAGGATGGTATGTGAGCTGATCCAGAATACCCTACGACCGATCCCAACACCCTCCTGTCACCATGCAAAGTTTAGTAGGCTAGCCCAAATATATATATATATATATATATATATATATATATATATATATATATATATATATATATATATATATATATATATATATATATATATATACCCTATGAAAGGTAGGGAAGGTGATGAAGGGTAGGGAAGGTGGTGAAGGGTTGGGAAGGTGGTGAAGGGTAGGGAAGGTGATGAAGGGTAAGGAAGGTGGTGAAGAGGAGGGAAGGTGGTGAAGGGTAGGGAAGGTGGTGAAGGGTAGGGAATGTGGTGAAGGGTAGGGAAGGTGATGAAGGGTAGGGAAGGTGGTGAAGGGTAAGGAAGGTGGTGAAGGGTAGGGAAGGTGGTGAAAGGTAAGGAAGGTGGTGAAGGGTAGGGAAGGTGGTGAAAGGTAAGGAAGGTGGTGAAGGAGAGGGAAGGTGGTGATGATGTTGTAGATAGGGAAGTTAGCCGTACCATAGTAGTAAAAACAGTTGTGATGAAGATAGTGTGTAATGAAGATGGTTACAGTGATGAAGATTTTATGTAGCGAAGAGAACATGTAGTGAGAGCATGTGAGTGAGTGAGTGAGTGAGTGAGTGAGTGAGTGAGTGAGTGAGTGAGTGAGTGAGAACACAGCTTTTCCAGTGAATGTTTAAATGTAATATTTCACACCTTCGAAAATTTTAATTAACTATTCAGATGATAATTAACCAGAGAAAGATATCAACAAAAATGCAGTGCCAATCCTTGAAGAAAATTCTATATTTTGTATGGGAGTGGATAACGTAACAGCCTACTGTGAGGAGGCTGACCATTTACAGCGGTGTCATTGTATGACCTTTAACTAGTCCTGACGCAGAATGAAAGTAAAAGCGGATCACCGCGAGCGATGCTCTCAATACACTTTTTTTTTTTCCATCTTTACATTTACCGGAGAAAGAAAAAGTGGACAGACGACATTGGTCACATGCGGGTATAAAAGGGTTGGTTGGTGGGACAGTCGGCAGTGTGATCTCCGCTACGACACGATGAACGCCAAGGTGAGTCCTCAGAGAGAGGCATATACTTCATTCCATAATATCCCTCCTGTGGTAGAGAGGCCTTAAGCCCGCTTGCTCGTCCATCCATCTTGCATGACATAAACATACCGAGAGATGGATTCCTTTTCTCGGTTTATATACAGTGAGTTTGCTTTAATCCTGGACTTTATTCAGGATTAAAGTATACATGATGGTTTATGACAGTGTCCCATAAAACATACAATTTAGAGTAGCTTACGTGAAAACATTTGAGACATTTGTATCATCTAAGATTTGATCCATGGACTGGTTGGTAGGACATCAGTCTCCAACTTTTAAGGCATGACTTCGAATCTCTGTTGATCCAAGTCGCAGCTATAATAACTCTTCAAAAGTAGATAGGCTTTAAGCCCATTGAACCCAATGTTTAACCTCACTCATAATGCTTTTGGTTTGCATCTGAGTGCAACCTTATCTCTGACATGTTGTATTTCCAGGTACTCTTCCTGCTGGGTCTGGTGGCTGTGGTCGCCGCCGACAAGCGTCCCGCCCCCGCCCTGGCCTACGGTGCCCCCCCGGTAGGAAAGCAAATATGATTTCAACTTCTATATTAATATGTAAAATGGAGGAGAAAAAGAGATCAGCTATGGTAAACTAGAAGTTATATATCTATTTTTCTATATTATAAAATTATTTTATACTAGAAACTTACGTTAGTATTGTTATATGAATATTGATCACTTATATGTAACTAGATTTTGCGAGTAATTCAAAATATATTTTTAGACACGTTTTGATGACTCTGATGAGGTTATCGAGCCCCCGAAGTATGGGTACGACTGGACTGTACAGGACGCAGAGTCTGGCAACAGCTTCGGCCAGCAGGAGGCCCGCGACCTGGACAACACCAAGGGGTCGTACACCGTGCAGCTTCCCGATGGTCGTCTCCAGACTGTAACTTACTACGTTGACGGTGACTCTGGATTCATTGCCGATGTCCAGTACCAGGGCGAGGCTCGCTACCCCGACTCTGATGAAGTCGGTTCCTATTCTCCACCACAACAGCCCAGCGCCCGCTACGGAGCCCCCTAGGTCATCAGTCCACTCTCATAAATACTACAGTCACCCATCGATAACTCTAACATATTATTTCTGCAACCAGACAGCTACTCTTGATTATCTCCAAGCATATTGTAGCATATAAAGCCTCACTTATCAAGGTTCCAGCACATTTCACTTATAAAAGCTCTTTTTCAAATGGCCCTCAAGGTTCATGAGGCCATCTTTAGCCTTTTGAAACTTCAACCTTGGCGTTCCTTTCTCTTATCTCTCATTCCAAACTTAATATCTTTCAGCTGCTTCTCGTCATCATTGTCGAGGTCACTCCCATAGTCTTTAATGCTATGTATATAATTTATTGAATAAAGCGAATAATCGAGATTTGTTTTTAAATTTCTTCCCATGTCTTATTTATACACATTTAAATATATTTATATAGGAGGTACGACCTCTGGCTGGAAGAAAGGGACCCATAGCCTCGGAGAAAAGCACACACAGCGCATTAGAGAGAATTTTTTGGGTCCCCTTCCATGCTGTTTCGATGTTCTTTGGTCCTACCACCCCCTTCTCGTTGTGTTTTGCTTTACTTTATAAAGTATTTAACGGTTACAAGTTATATATTGGTGAACACAATGGAACTTAACTGTCTCCACGAAGAAAACGAAAAATATCCTACAAACTATTTGTCGCTTGGTTTTTGTTTCATAAATATATTTATTTAAGAGATATATATATAACAGTCGCCAATATGTTAAGTTTGGAAGAGCGCCAACTAATGAGAAAATCAACTAGAGCTCAGAAGTGACTCGAACCCGCAACCAAGGCACTCCCAGCCGCTCACCTTCCCACCGTACCACCCTGATGCTAAAAAAAGTGATAAAATCGGTATTTCACTGAAACCTCTGAAAGCCCCTACTGGAGCCACTCCAAATTGTGTGTATAATCCCCAAACACTATTAATTAGTTCATTCAACGCTAGTGAATGAACTAATTTATGATACAGTGAATGATACACAATCTGAAGATGGTGTATGATGAATGAAGTAAGGTGAATAAATTCCTTTACCGGCACCCAAGTGCTTGGGTGGAAACCTCAGGTGAAAGAAAACGTGGACTGACTTCAGTAGGGGCGTCCAGACTTTCACAGGTTTCAGTGGAACCCCTGTTGTATAACTTTTACCAAGTTAGGGTGATCCTCAAAGCTTCAGAGGATTTTTCTTACTGATATATATCACGTTAGTGTGATTCATTTTAAAGCGTCAGCTAATGCTTTAATAACTATCCTGAACCGCATGTTCCCCTGTGGCAGTTTGTTTATAAATATACTACTACTACTACTAATAATAATAACAATCATAATTCCGTTCACGAGAACAGGCAGCCTAAACTTAGTTTTACCGATGTTCCCCTCCCCAAGACCCCAGTGTTACGGGCTCACCATAGCCCGTGCTACATGGACACTTCGTTCTGAGTAGCTAAATCTGAAACAACAACAACAACAAGACCCCAGACTCCCCACCCCCCTCTCCCCCAACCCCTCTACCCCCTCCCCCCTCTACCCCCTCCCCCCTCTACACAGGCCAACCCACAACAATTACCTAACTTGTTGACCAACCTGCACACTAGAAAGTGAAGGGACGACGACGTATTCTTATGATCTTATTCCTATACCTTTTATTTCACCTTACCTCTCATACCTTTAGCCTTGCTCTTCTTCCTCTAAGATTTTCTTATCCTCACCTCTCTCTTGCCTATTTATTCCCTCTAACTCCTTCCCTTATCCAAATCGACTTGAGAATGGTCCAGGACTGACCGAAACGTCGTCGTCCCTTCACTTTCTAGTGTGTGGTTTGGTCAACATATTTCAGCCACGTTCAGTGACAGTTGGGTGGACAGGGCTTCGGACTCGTAGTCCTGAGGTTCCAGGTTCGATCCTCGGTGGAGGCGGAGACAAATGGGCAAAATGTTTTTTTCACCCTAATGCCCTTGTTACCTAGCAGTAAATAGGTACCTGGGAGTTAGACAGCTGCTACGGGCTGCTTTCTGGGGGTGCGTATAAAAAAGGAGGCCTGGTCGAGGACCGGGCCGCGGGTAAACTAAGCCTCGAAATCATCTCAAGATAATGTTATTGCGACTCCTCGTCTGCAATTACCTAACTCCAAGGAACGTGTTTACTGGTAGGTGAAAAAGAGGCATTAGACTGAGATGCCTCTCAGGCTTCTGACCTTTCCTGGACTGCTTCCCTCAATAATTGCCTCTTGTGACCAATTTTACTACAAGGTGAACAGAGATCTCAGTTGAAAGAAAACGTGGATAACCATTTCTGGTCTGCCTCCGGATTGAACTAGCGCACAGTCTTAAATTATAATTAGAACACGTTCGAATTCACATGCAATACTGAACAGTATCTTGCAGGGTCGGCGTTCGATCCCCGATGGTCCAAGTTTGTTGGGAACCGTTCCTTCCCTCCTTCCTCATATACTAGCTCCTTGTCCTCATATCCCAGCTCCTTGTTATCATACTCCATCATTCATAAATTTTAACGAATTGTGTATTAAATATATGGTTTTCTAATATATAAATTAATATTATTATATGTTGGAGTTCTGTGTATAGTTACGCTTAGGTTATTAGTTTAGGTTCTGTTGGCTATACATACAGTTGAAGTACATGGTGAAGCTTACGGGATATTCATGCCCGTGCTACCTTTTGGGTGGCTTAATCTTTATCAATCAATTAACGGGTGAAGCATTTACGGAGCTGCGTTTCGAACCGAGGTCCCCAGCGAAGCACTGTTAGAGAAATGTTCTAACGTCATCAGTGGTAAGTCGTTTGTAAATCGTGTTTCATTCATGAACATGAGCGAGAACGAGAGAGAGAGAGAGAGAGAGAGAGAGAGAGAGAGAGAGAGAGAGAGAGAGAGAGAGAGAGAGAGAGAGAGAGAGAGAGAGAGAGAGAGAGAGAGACTGAAGGTGTTATCTAATACCACACAAACCAGTCCACTCATCAACGAGTGAAAAAACTTGTCCATGATGGTAAGAACAAGGCGGAGACGACCCTCTTGTCGTTCTCTCAACCACCTCACATCCACCTGTGTTGTCTTGGGTGTGACGGATGTCCTTAACGAGTCCTTCCTGGTTAAACTCAACTACGTGCATTGTATCACACCATTTGACCCGCTAAACTAAACTGACTTTCATTACGTCTGTATATGTACGTGTTTTGAATATTTTATTTATTTTATTAACTGGAATAATAGCGAAGCTTCCGAAGAAGTCAGTGTCTCTACACACAGAAATCACAATAGATGCATCAAATGAACACATTCACAAGGGCTGAGACGAGGGTTGTCGTAGCTCAGTCCATTAAGGCAGCGTCTGGGATCCTCTCGGACATAGATTCGAACCCTCGTCACGGCCCTTGTGGATTTGTTCAAGTCACTGTCTCCTTCGCTATCACAACGAGTCTGACAGGTGGAAGAAACCTTAACCGGAATCCCGACAAGCTTGCAATGTTCAAAATCGCTCAAAAATGAAATAAAATATACGGGTTCACCATAGCCCGTGCTACTTGGAACTTTTTGTTCTGAGTAGCTGAACAACAACAAATAAAATACACAAATGAAAACTTCGTTGACAGTATGAACGAGGAAAACTAACGGGACTCAAGATTATCGTAAATAACGAGGGACTCTAACGATGAGAATTGTTGAGGTAGGCAATAGCAACCTGTCCTCACACTTAACGCAGCAATTTTTAACGCTATCGACAACAGCGTAAAAATCCCAGTGCTTTAGTGACAATAGATGGATGCCAAGGCTCGTCCGCCTCTGGTTAGACAAAACCATTTTGAATTTGACGATTGTGAGAAATGACTGGATCTCCACCTTAGTATGGAATAATATCAACAATCTCAACTAAAAATTGATGTAAAAATCTATATAATAATTATATCAACTCTATATAATAAACTAATATATAATAGTCTACATAAAAATCTATATAATTTAGTGTTTTGTTATTCAATTATATAAAGACAAAGAAAAATATGATTTTACTGTTTTTATTGAACATATCTATCTAGGTCACGTGGTCATGTGGATACCGATCAGGTTAACACTGAACGACCTCGTTCGTGATGAACTTCTCCAGGAGTAATAACACTTAAATCAATCATATATTTTCTAGCATATATTTTTCCTTGTGGTCGTATGTTACCACACACACATATATATTATATTATATATATATATTACACACACATATATATATATATATATATATATATATATATATATATATATTTATATATATATATATATATATATATATATATATATATATATATATATATATATATATATATATATATATATATATATATATATATATATATATATATATATATATAAAACTTTTCATTGTGATATTGTTCCACAATATCACTGGCAGTTGCAAGAATTACAAACTCACCTGAAGCAGAGGAAAACATTTTACCCTCAATTAAAAAGGTTAAATATTTAGGTAACCCAACATAACCTAAGCTATCTTCATCGTAAATAAGCATTCCTAGGCATAAGTAAGCAATCCTAGACCTAAAATAACCATCCCTGGGTCTAAATAACCAACTCTAGGCCTAAATAAGCAAACGTAGGTCAGAACAAGCAATTTCAGGCTTAATTTAATACATAAATACACTATTCAAAGCCTATAAAAAGTTAAATTTAGATGTTGCCTGCTTTGTTGTACCCTAACTCCCCTTCCCACTTCGGGGGGGGGGGGGTTATGTAGCTTCAGGGCACCAATCCCTCCAGCCACTGGGCATGGCGAGAAGGCACCCCTAAGCGTACCTAATACCCTATCAAACACAAACTAAAATACACATAAATGGCAGATCTCATCACAACCCACAAGAGTTAAGATGATGATAATAACATACACAAACTGGAAAATTCTTTTGTATTTCGTTTTTCTTATATGGGACACGGCTCACACAGGGAGAGGTGCACAGTATATTAATAAAAAGAACTAAAGGTGAAGGCAGAACAACACGCTGCCTTAGCGGCTGGATTGGTGACTTGACATTGGCATACATGGAAAAAACTATTCATAGTGGAAGCTCCTAGATGTTGCCTTCTATCTCTGCTGTACAACCTGTCCTCATTTTTAATGCATATTTATTTACGGATTCAAGCAATCCGTTAAAACCATGACGCATTAGTAATAAATAGAAGCACCGTAACATTGAGTTTCAATGTATCTGCCTCGATAGGATTGATAGGTTGCCGCTAACCTTCGTGTTGCTAGGTAACACAATTATATCTTACAGAGTAGATTGTTAAGAGAGCGGACTGAGTACATAACGTGAACATTATTAGTATGAATGCACTAATTCATATTTTGTGTTATCACCCGTAGTAGCTATATATACCAACGATCAGGTTGCAATAATTCCTAAATGAGGGAGGGAATTATCAGGGAACAACGATCAGGTGTGAGTGACTGAGAGCACATTACTCTATCGAGTCACTTTAGAGTAAAGACAATCATAGAAAACGTGCAACGTTTTGAAGATAAACTTTAAATTCGTCTAAATTGTGAACACTAACTTACCCTTTTATAACATTATTTTATTTATATTTATTTTAATGTTTTAAATAAATAAAACATTTATTTAAGAGGCTTAGTAAATATCTAGATCGGACCGAAATTTCAAACAGACGTTCGACAGAGATCCAAAACGAACCCCAAATGTCAAGTAAAGGATTCATAAGGGTCCAGAACGGACCAAAATGTCAAGTAAAGGCTTCGTAAGAGTCCAGATCTGACCAATACAACAAATAAAGGCTTCGTAAGGGTGCAAAACGGACCAAAGCGTCAAGAAAAAGGCTTCGTAAGGGTCCAGAACTGACCTAAACGTCAAGACTTCATAAATGCCCAGAACGGACCAATTCATCGCTACTTCACATCTCACGTATGTGGGTTGGAATATTTGTTTTCATCCACGATGTTGCGACTGCGTACGGTACACAACTATCCGTTCTACAACTTTGATAATTATACTTCGAAAAGTTATATAAGCCAACATTCTCCCCAAACAACACTAACAGCTCATTCCTGTATCTTAATGAGGTAAGGTAATTATGAGGAGAAAGCGCTAAGCAGGTACGTGTGACTATACATCACTTGGAAAGGATATGAGGACAAGGAGCTGGAATATGAGGACAAGCAGCCGAGATATGATGATTCATATTTTGTGCTCTCACCTGTAGTAGCTATATATACCAACAATCAGGTGTGAGTGTACATTAATCTATCGCGTCACTTTAGAGTGAAGACAATCATAGAAAACGTGCAACGTTTTGAGGATAAACTTTAAATTGGACAAAGAGCACAAGCAGCTGGGATATGAAAAGGTGCTGGGATATGAGGACAAGGAACTTGGATACGAGGACAAAGTTCTGGAATATGAGGACAAGGAGGTGAGATAGGAAGAAGCTGCCCAAGCACTCATCAGGAAACGAACGCCGACCTTGCAAGAAGTAAGGCCTTCACTCTAACCACCAATTACTTCTTGGAGCCTCCATTCACCTCACTAGAAAAATCTGCAAACATTGAATGCTTACATTTCCGCTGTGACAAACAGTGAATTTGTAGTTTCGAGAGTGTCTTGATCTCTTAGAGATCTTAGCAGTAATAACAGTTGATTTGATAAACCACACTTTAGCGTATTCAAGACCTCATTACAACTTAACCTTGTAGGTCTCAGCTCTAAATCTTTCAAGCCTTAGAAGACTTGTAGGCCAGAGAAGACCTAAAATTCACAATGAGTTTTCACCGTTAAATGATTTTAAATAAGGCTAGGTCTTGCTGCTTCTGTTCAACGGGGCATGTGCAGCTGGTTCTGTTCAACGGGGCATGTGCAGCTGGTTCTGTTCAACGGGGCATGTACAGCTGGTTCTGTTCAACGGGGCATGTGCAGCTGGTTCTGTTCAACGGGGCATGTGCAGCTGGTTCTGTTCAACGGGCATGTGCAGCTGGTTCTGTTCAACGGAGCATGTGCAGCTTTCTGTTCAACGGAGCATGTGCAGCTGGTTCTGTTCAACGGGGCATGTACAGCTGGTTCTGTTCAACGGGGCATGTGCAGCTGGTTCTGTTCAACGGGGCATGTGCAGCTGGTTCTGTTCAACGGGGCATGTCCAGCTGGCTTTGTTCAACGAAGCAACCTCACTGTTCCATCAGTGAACATTCTAACTCTAATATTCTCTTGTTTATCAGATATTTCAAAATCTAGAAGTGTAGTGTGTATAACCAATTCCACATCTAGTTGTGTGGCGTGAATAACCAGTTCTAAATCTATAAGCTTGGCGTGCATACATGTAGTGTGTACTTAGTGTAATCATATGATTGTGTTTTTTTTCTTCAGTGGGAGGCTTTTTAAAGATTCGTGAGGTCTGTTTAATAGCTACTGAAGATTCGTGCAAAAAAGTAGTTTCGTGACGCGGCGCTGACGGTGAAGGTATATAAGGGAGGAATCTTAGGGTCGAGGAGCAGTTTCCTTTGAGACATGGTCATGAACGCAAGGGTAAAGTGCTCCTTGAAGGGATATATACACCGAGAGGTGTACTCCACTTCTCGGTGTTCATACATTGAGATTTTACGCTAGTTCTAGAATATATATTCAGGAGTATACTTGCTGGTTAGATGTTATGGACTCAATAACCCTCCAGAGGCTGATAGGTCTTAAAACTAAAACATCAAAGCATTTGTTTTATAATAGGATATGTCCAGCCCCATGGACTGGTCGGTATAGTGACGGTATTGCTTCTTGCAGATCCCTCGTTCGATCCCCAGTGTTCCAAGTGGTGGGACACCGTTCCTTCACTCTCCCCTTATCCTGCCCTCATATCCCTTCATGTGCTGTATATTCATGTTGTCTTAACACTTTTCCATAGTTTCCATTCTATGTTGCCTACAAACTGGATAGTTAATAAAACTAGCCCATAAACAGTTATGAAAACCTTATAAGGTGTTGTTGAATGAAAAAGTCCTTTCCTTGTAGCGATTAATATATTGTTTCCCCGTGTTGTAGGTTGCAATAGTGCTTGTTGCAGCTGTGGTCGCAGCTGCAGACCAGCGTCCACCATACTCCTACGATAGTCCAAGGGTACGTCTACAGCTTCCGATGACGACAGAATTCAATCAATCTTCATCAAGTATTCAATCTCTGTCCTATATTACATCTCATTAATCAATTTTCATACCCTTAATAGACCATTAATTCTTTTACGTGATACGATTATATATTTTTAGGGCTCGCTTGAGTACTCAACGGAATCGAAAGAGGCGCAATATAATTACAACTATGTCATTAAGAACGACTACTCCGGCAACGACTTCGGTCACCAGGAGGCCCGCGACGGTGACAACACCAAGGGGTCGTACTACGTGCAGCTTCCCGACGGTCGTCTGCAGACCGTGACTTACTTCGTGGACGGTGACCGGGGCTACGTGGCCGAGGTCTCCTACCAGGGCGAGGCTCGCTACCCGGACTCCTCTGAGGTCCGGTCTTACGGCACTCCTCCCAGACCTCAGTATGGACTTCCTGAGTCAGAAGAATCTGTCGAGGCCTCAGCTTATTCTTTACCTGTGTCATTATACAATACGCCTACATCCTACACCACACCCAGGCCTCACACTACACCCAGAGCATCCTACACTACACCCCGATTATCCTACAATGCACCCAGGGCATCCTACTCTACACCCAGACCATCCTACACTACACACAGAGCATTTTACACTACACCAAGGCCCAACACAACACCCAGACCATCCTACACTAGACCAAGAACATTCTACACTACACCAAGGCCCTACACAACACCCACACCAGCCTACACTACTCCCATCCACTACACTACACCTCGACCATCCTATACTACACCCAGACCATCCTACACTTCACCCAGACCATCCTACACTCCACCCAGACCATCCTACACTCCACCCAGACCATCCTACACTCCACCCAGACCATCCTACACAACACCCAGACCATCCTACACTCCACCCGGACCATCCTACACAACACCCAGACCATCCTACACTTCACCCAGACCATCCTACACTTCACCCAGACCATCCTACACTTCACCCAGACCATCCTACACTACACCCAGACCATCTTACACTACACCCAGACCATCCTACATTACACCCAAACCATCCTACACTACACCCAGACCTTCAAAGGCATTCCCTGAGCCACAGGACTCTATGGAGATCGCTATGTACCAGCCACACTCTCCTGAAGAGGATGACTCTTCAGAGAAAACATATGCTTACAGTCCCCCAATGATTAACTTCCCACTAGGACTCTCCGAAGAGTCCTCTGAAGAGTCCGAGGACTCTTCATTCGCCCGCTATACTCAATAAGACTCTCCTGAGTCCCACCAACATACGTACCTCTCTCCTATTTAATCCTACGCTTGTCAAAATTTGCCAGTGGAGAGTATTTGATTCCTCAAAGAACTACTTATAATCCCACTCACATGTGTAACTTGTAAATAAACTATGACATTTTGGCTTTTATATTATGTGTCATTTGTTCCTACACTAACGAGAAGAACAAGTTTGTTAAAACTTGAACTGTTAATGAAAGAGCAAATAACATTCCATTATGATGCGTAAGATATCATCCACTTTCTATCAGTAGTAAGATATCATCCACTTTCTTTCAGTAACTAACCGACACGTAATCAATTATAAAGTTCAATTACAAAAAAAAAATTAATGAATGATTTTTAAGTATAATTTAACAAAATAGATATTAACACGAATATTATTAATACTAGTACTAATAATAATTAAATTAATTGCAATTATTCCCACACTATTGCAGAGAGGATAAAATATATTAGAAAAAACTGCATTTTTCGTTGCAATTTCCGAAGCGACTATCAATTGACGCTTAGCCAATTATTAAATAACAATTATTGGAGTAAAAATATTTAGATAATAGCAGCTTTAACAATGTAGAAACAATTATATTTACACTTGCAACTGCCTATATGTGTTAAACTAAGGTCCAGACTAACATAGCACCCACACTATCTATCAGCACCCACACTGTCTACCAGCTCCCACACTGTCTACCAGCTCCCACACTGTCTATCAGCTCCCACACTGTCTATCAGCACCCACACTATCTATCAGCACCCACACTGTCTATCAGCTCCCACACTGTCTACCAGCTCCCACACTGTCTATCAGCACCCACACTATCTATCAGCACCCACACTGTCTACCAGCTCCCACACTGTCTACCAGCTCCCACACTGTCTATCAGCTCCCACACTGTCTATCAGCACCCACACTATCTATCAGCACCCACACTGTCTACCAGCTCCCACACTGTCTACCAGCTCCCACACTGTCTACCAGCTCCCACACTGTCTATCAGCACCCACACTATCTATCAGCACCCACACTGTCTATCAGCACCCACACTGTCTACCAGCACCCACACTGTCTACCAGCTCCCACACTGTCTATCAGCACCCACACTATCTATCAGCACCCACACTGTCTATCAGCACCCACACTATCTATCAGCACCCACACTGTCTATCAGCTCCCACACTGTCTATCAGCTCCCACACTGTCTATCAGCACCCACACTGTCTATCAGCACCCACACTGTCTATCAGCACCCACACTGTCTATCAGCTCCCACACTGTCTATCAGCACCCACACTATCTATCAGCACCCACACTGTCTATCAGCTCCCACACTGTCTATCAGCACCCACACTGTCTATCAGCTCCCACACTATCTATCAGCACCCACACTGTCTATCAGCACCCACACTGTCTATCAGCACCCACACTGTCTATCAGCACCCACACTGTCTATCAGCTCCCACACTGTCTATCAGCACCCACACTGTCTATCAGCTCCCACACTGTCTATCAGCACCCACACTGTCTATCAGCTCCCACACTGTCTTAACATAGAGTCTAGACCAACACAGAAGAGATGACGCTGGTTCTGTTTACACTGTATAGAAGCCTCACAGTGTACATTAGATGAAACGAGAGTGTCCAGCCATTTGTTCTGGCCGGGAATCGAACCCGGTATCCCCGATTATGAGTCGAGAACGAAGCTAACTGTCCTCCGAGACCCTGTAAATGGTCATTCCCCATTGTGTTGTCTGTAGGTTGTTTCAAACACGCATACAGTCTCCGCATTACCTTAAATAGCCAATATGGCGGACTCAGAATTACTCGCCACCTACCTTACACTCGAAGCAGTGAATTCTTGGTCGTTAACTACCCGAAGGAGTGCCTCGTGTAGTGTAGTAGACGTTGTAAACAGTAGTTCCTCTTGCGTCTGGCAGCAACAGTCAGGAAAGCTGTCAGTTGTCACCAGCTGACATTGTTTTTGGCATCAGTCCACTCAAACTCCTTGAAGTATCACCATACACTCTCCTCCACCCATTACTTTACTTACAATGTGTTCCTCGGGCACTTACACACTCGATAGCACTTTATAATGTCGCCAGGACGTGGATATCCGGCCGCACGAGGTAAACCGTGGATATCCAGTCGCAGAGGTCGGTGACGTGTTTACACTGAACCTACGACCTGAGCCACAATAAAATTATAACGTCACATTGACGTAACACATCTGGTTCATACCTTATACAAGACAAAAAAATTACCTCCTATTTGGGTTAGGATTAAATAGGATAAGCTAGGATAGTTTGGGTTGGATTTACTTATAGAGTAGAGAGGCCATAGCGTGGCGAGAACTTAGACCCGCGTAAAACCCGGTATGATTCGTTATCGCCATAAAAAAGAACTGTCGGTTTCACAACGGATGAGTTAAATACTGAATTATTTAGTTCCTCCTCATAAACACGTCACGTCCTCATAAACAAAGACCAAATGCTCATTATTCCATCCACCAAATCCCTTGTTTATGAACGAAAACAGTTTGTACACAAGTGTTCGAACATTTCTCAAATAGAGTTTCGCTGTAATTCGAACACAGGACGTGTTCGAATCACAGCTCAATAAATGCTTCACCTACGTACTACAGATGCAATTATTTACCAACAGATCCTGAGAATATACGTGATTGCAACAGCATCACAGCCAGGAACACAGGTGAGCGTTGCAGCACCGTAGCCATTACTGAGGACTGGAGACACAACCAGTCGGTCAAGGTGCACGTCATAGTTTAATATTCCCCACCACCTGAGCAGGATTGAGCTTTGAATATGACTGATAGCAGCCCGTCCTCGCATATAAATATCCAAGCCCGTTAATCCAGCCGCCAAACCCCTTGTCTATGAATGAAAAACTGTTTACACACGATTTGCAACTGATGACGTCCGAACACTTCCGGAACAAGTGCTTCGCTGACGAAGCACTTGTTCCGAATATTAATTTTTAAAAGAGTATGTTAAAATTGATGAATGCGTCTAGGGAGGACGGCCGCTGCTTTAACCAGCCTAGTGTGAGGACGGGCTGCTGATAGAGATGATGTGAATGCTTATTATGACTTATAGCGTCCAGGGCCAGGAGTCATCAGGCATTTAGCAACCACTTACGAAACCTGTACATCTGTCCTTACTCATGGCAGCTTTGTTTGCATTCGTTAAACAGTTTACGAGCTTGAAGACTTCACAACCCGAGGTTATTATTGTTATAAACAACCTCGTAGTGCTTCGGAGCACATAAACTGTTTAATAAATGTAAACACAGCCGCCATGATTGAGGAAAGATGTGTCTGGGCTGTTTATGGTGATAATTAGGGCCTGTTAAGGTCATGTTTGTTCATGATATTCGCTTCTCTCTCTCTCTCTCTCTCTCTCTCTCTCTCTCTCTCTCTCTCTCTCTCTCTCTCTCTCTCTCTCTCTCTCTCTCTCTCTCTCTCTCTCTCTCAGAAGCAGTACTATCAAGGTTGTTCTATTATTTCTCACCTTTCGTAAGATGAATGCTCTCTTCACAAGTAACCTGTCTCCATTACCATGCCAGAGCCTCTTGTGGCATCTCTAGTCACCTTACTCATTATTCATCACCTCTCACTCATTACTCATCGTCTCTCCCTCAACTCTCATCACCTATGTCTAACTTCTCATCATCAATCTCCAAACAATCAAAGCAATTACTACCCATCACCACCACCAATCACCATCGCCAATCACCATCAATCACCAGATAACTCCGACCATCTTCATCATCACCTCGAACCTTTGGGTGAATTGATGCACAAATTACAGTCCAGAAGGTACATGTACTCCTTTAGAATACAAGAGTACATGTACCATTTACATGTATAGAAGGTATTGTACATGTATTCTACATGTACTCCTGTAGAATCCGGGTGTACAGGTAAACCAGAATACAAGTAGACCAGGAGTACAAGTAGACCAAGAGGCATGTGCACAGGTCTTAAACTGGTGTTGGTCTTAAGACCTACCAACCTCTGGAGGAGTGTTAAGACCACCATAAACACATACTGAAGACCCATCACCTATACTCTCGTTCTGCACATTATTCTGGACTACAGTAAACTCACAGTGTGTATATACACCGAGAAGAATGAATACCTTTGAGTGTACACATATACCTTGGAGCACAAGGAAGGCAACTGCACTAAAATAATATTTACAGTGCAAGAGCGTGCAGGACCGGCCAGTTACAGGCTGGGTAGGGCATCAGTAGTGCCCACGGTGGTCACGATATCTTCCTACCCTAGGAATACCTTCCAGCATACCCCAGTCATGGCACACGTTGCCTTATCTTGGCTTATAGCGCCACTGTCTTGAATTTTCTTAGCTTATAACATCTTCCAGCGCGCTGTCTAGGGATTCCTTGATTAATCGTACTAATAACACCTTCCGTCGAGTTCTGTCATGACACATCTCGGTTTTCCTTGGCCAGCCTTGAGATGCTGGCCCCGCCCAGCATCCGACGGTGTGCGTGCTGATCTGATCAAGGATCTACACGGGAGGGTGTAAGACATTTCAGGAAGGAATATATTTTCACTGATTGGTAATTCCGCTTCCGAGTGTATGTACACTGGGTGTTTCCTTCTACCTTGGACAATGTTCAGGATTGAACTTTTCTTGCTGGTGGGTCGGTACGCTATTGTGGTGGCCTTAATAACCCTCCAGAGGTTGATGGGCCTCCAACCACCAAAATTTTGGGGGTTGGTCAGTAAGGTACTTTAGTGGCCTTTCATCCTTCTCCAAAAAGTGATAAACCTGATTTGGTTTATCAAAGCAGATAGACCCACTCAGATAGATAGAAAACGTATGATTGCCTGATTTGGGTGGTGTAGCTTAGGATACAGGGTGTTCTAACTTCACTGCCTCGAATCACTTCACTGTGTAAACACAACGTGCTGGGATTTAATGGTGAAAATATGTGATGTGTTTGCCACGTATTCTGTTTACAACATTATAACTGTAAGATTATCATCATTATGGTAATAAGAGCAGGAGATACGAATGAAAATGGAGAGTTATTAAGGCCTATCAACCTCTGGAGGGTTATTAAGGGTACCAAAATAGCTTACTGACCACTAGCAAGTATACTTTTGTTCTCAACATAGCTCTAGACTATAGTAAACTCTCAATATATATATATATATATATATATATATATATATATATATATATATATATATATATATATATATATATATATATATATATATATATATATTGGTAGCAGTCTTTCCTGTAGACATATATTATTAAACATGACCGAAAAAGTAAGATTAATAATTCTAATACGAATTTTCTCAATCTTTCGTACATTTCTTTTCACTGTTGGAGGTAAATCAAAAATCAATTTTCCAAAATTCATTTTTATTTCTAGTCTAGAAATAAAAAAAAGACTAGAAATAAAAATGAATTTTGGAGAATTGATTTTTGATTTTCCTCCAACAGTGAAAAGAAATGTACGAAAGATTGAGAAAATTCGTGTTAGAATTATTAATCTTACTTTTCGGTCATATTTAATAATATATATATATATATATATATATATATATATATATATATATATATATATATATATATATATATATATATATATATATATATATATATATATCAAGAATTTGGGCATACCTCTCGGTGTATATATCCCTCCTCATAACTAGGAATGGCTCATGAATTCAAAATGATATCACTATTTTTGTGATAATTTTGTATACAGGACCTATAATATATATAGATCCTGTACATACAGGACCTGAGAGATTAGAGAGAGAGAGAGAGAGAGAGAGAGAGAGAGAGAGAGAGAGAGAGAGAGAGAGAGAGAGAGAGAGAGAGAGAGAGAGAGAGAGAGCAAAGCTGCCCCACCCACTCCTTTACACCGGTAAACTTCCTCCGTGGAGGTCAACCTCAGGTCACGACCTGTGTCCTCCCGTCATCACGCCACTTCACCTGACCTTACCTACCCCTCACAGCCTGTCACGAAGAAGTCTAAACTAACATAAAATCTCCCAAAAATCCCTTAAAAACCTCTAAAGTAATCCCTAAAATACGTTTTAAAATTGGATGCAACGTTCCCTAAAGAATAATTATATACTCTAAATATTTTTATTTTGAATTCAGACGAACTTAAAAATGAAACAAATATGGTTAATTCTCGTGACGTCACGGAGCCGGGAAGGTATATAAGGAGATGGTTGGAGCTGGAGAAGCACATTTGGCTTCGAGGCTTCACGATGATCTCAAGGGTGACGTTACATTTCATGCTCGTACCTAAAGTTAGGGATTATAATGTTATATGAGAGTAGGATATACAAAATGAAAACTGAGGGTTATTAAGGCCTGTCAACCTCTGGAGGGTTATTACTCTTTTCACAGGGATAGATCTTCGGTGTTCAATATGACACGCGATGGAGTAGTGTTTTTTTTACAGTATAAAGAGAGCAAATGTTAAATTCTTGTAGCTATTACTGCCAAACTTCAAAATCTTTCCAATTCAAAGACTTTATATTCATGAATGTTTGTTGATTTACAATTGTTAGTTTACATAAAATTTAACGTGAAACATTAAAATTATAACATTAGATTTGTTTATGTTCTTCAACAATCTCAGCAAATTATCTAAGCGTGTAGTTAAAGGGTGAGAGCTACGCTTGTGGTGTCCCGTCTTACGAGTACTCTTTGTCATATGACGCTTTGAAACTACTGACGGTTGTGGCACAGGCCGTCCTCTAAAAAAGATTGCACTTATTATAATTATTTGTCGATGCCTTCCAGTGTGCACTGTTGGTTCCCAAAAACTTTAGTTTTGTACTATTAGTTTATTTGTCCAAAAATCCTAAAATTAAACTTAAATATTCCTAGGGTTAGTATGGCACATTATGTACTATATTAGGCCTAATATATCGTGTATTAGGCCTAAAAATTACTTGCACAGGTCAGGTTAGGATCTTTAGTTAAATTTCCGATTTACTAGAATGCCATTTAGGCTAATTTACTAATGCAAAACATGAACTTTTTAGAGGTCCAAAAGTACATAGTGATAAGTTCGCGCAAATAGTTATTATATTTGCCATCATTTTAGGAGGGCGGACTGTTTTGGCATCCATCGTCTTCTGAAACTACTTATTCCAAACTTCTACAACTCTACATGTGATGATCTGGAAGTCTCCTGCTGTACCAGTAATGTTCCGTATCTTAATTCCAGGTTGTGTTCCTGCTGGGTGTGGTGTCGGTCAGTGTGGGTGAGCGTCGTCCAGTCTACTCCTACACCGCTCCTCAGGTAGGCTGACTCTTGACCCGAGGGTTGACATAATGGACATGTCTGAGAATCTGACTAGATATCATTGGTATATCGGTAGTGTTTGGGGTAGTCCAGAGACGCTAATTCGAGCCCATTCACTGACTAAATCAAGTTTTTGTGATTTCGATGATATATTTTTGTAAGCTAATGTTGGGTTGTTCGTAGACATTGACTTTTCAGGGGTCTGATGAATACTCCGATGAGTCTAGAGAGGCTCGGTACAACTTCAACTATGCTGTGAAACACGAAGACTCCGGCAACGACTTCGGTCACCAGGAGACCCGCGACGGTGACGACACCAAAGGGTCGTACTACGTGCAGCTTCCCGACGGTCGTCTGCAGACTGTGACTTACTCCGTGGACGGTGACTCAGGCTACGTGGCCGAGGTCTCCTACCAGGGCGAGGCTCGCTACCCGGACTCCGATGAGATCAGGTCATACGCTCAACGAAGACCATCACACACTCCATCCAGACCATCCTACACTAGGATAGGACCATCCAACATCGCCCCCAGAGCATTCTTCGCGTCTCCTAGACCATCGTACTCGAATCCCGAGGCTGAAGAATCCCGCGAAGTCATCGTGTACGCCTCATCAGAAGGTTCCCTGGAGACTGGCTCGTACAGTCCGCCCCGCTACTTCGCGGGTCCTTCAGAAGAGTCCTCCGAGGAGTTCGAGGACTCTCCCTTCACCCACTACACCCATCCGGACTCTCTTAACAACTACAAACCACCCGTCTACATCCCAAACACCCGTAACTACGGATTTTAGCATCGGAAATCGAGCTACTAATCTGAATTTAGTACCAGAATTATAAACCACTGTCTAATGCTGCAAATTTGATAATTTTACTAAATAGATACTTATAATAATTAATAAATTATAATATATAATTGTCTTTAAAGCAAAACCATTTAATAAAGGATTACTAAGAGGTGGTAATCTGATCAAGAGGGGCTGATCACTTTATTCACTAAACGTGACTAAATTTATTAATTTAAAAGTGTTTTTTGATGCTTTGAAAAATATTTAAATATTTTGCATATTTCATTAATATATCATATTTTTCATATAAATATATTAAATACACATTTTGTTGATTATTAAATTTGCTGATGATAAAAAAACAAGGGGGAAGGAAAGGTTTATAACAATAAGTTTACATGCATTATGAATGTATACATGCATTATGAATGTATACATGCATTATGAATGAATACATACATTACGAGTGTATATACACACACATTACGAATGTATACATACATTACGAATGTATACATACATTACGAATATATACATACATTACGAATGTATACATACATTATCAATGGAACATTATCAATATGTACATACATTATGAATGTATTACCACATCCTTGATTGGTTATACAGGACTGGTAACTTGATTCACTGCTACCTTGCTTGGTTAAATCGAAGTAGTCACTTGATTCACCACTGCCTTAATTAGTTATGCAGGACTGCCCACTTGATTCATCGATGCTTTGACAAGTCACTTGATTGATAGATTGCCTCGATTGGTTACACAGAGCTGATCACTTGATTCTCCTATTCTAATGGACAATCGTTTCTAAACACCAATTGAATTTCCCGGTAGAACTTGCTTGGTAGAACATGCGAACCAAAACTTGGCTTGTTATAGAAATTTGCATGTCCTCAGCATTTTGTATTAACTGAATTTAGGAACTGGGCACATCTCAAGTACTCATAACTATCATTACTACAGTCATCTATACTATACACTATCACCATCACTGTGATCATCCACACTACACACGACCGTCAACACAGTAACCATTCTACACTATACACGACTATCAACACTGTAACAATCTACGCTACACACGGCTTCTGCAAACCATTTTCACTACACATTGCCTTCATCACTATCTACACGAACTTCAAAGAGAGAAAGAGAAACGGAGTGTATGTGATCCATATTGCTCTCTTAGTTATCATACCTTTACATTTCTGCTTATGAAACGTCAACTTAATTTCCAGTCATTTGACTAACTTTTAGGAAAGATGCCGAGTTTGCGACTGCTGGTGCCATCTAGGAGCATAAAATGACACTATCGGCAGGTTAACAGCAGCCCATAAGGTGGGTTGTTGTGCTGAAGGTAGCTTCCCGCGCTCGCATTTCATTGGTTAACACTTTATATTGACATCCACCACAACAGCCAATCACAAGAAAGAATTAGTTGGAAACTCCACCCATTTAATTATATCATTTGGGTGTTTTTTCTTCTTCACGGCAACTTTTCTTATGATTGCTGCTTTCCATGATTTATCTGCAATGTATATTTTTTAGATCATTTGAAAATTATTATATATAAATTATAAATAAATATCTAAGACATTAGAGTATTTATATTAGAATGAAATCCCTAACCATTATGTAATTTCATGTGGGCGGGGCTTAAACAAAAAATTATTTTAAAGACTTCCACCAGATGGCAACACTTGTCGTGTGTATACACATAATATCTAAGTTAGTATATTTAAATGAATCCATAATAATATTTTCGTAATTATTGCAGTTTTTATCTTATTTTGGTAAATAAAGATTTCATTGTTAAGAACCTTAGTAAATCAAATGATGTAAATTTGATAACGCTGACCAAGAGGTTCATAACCTGACAAGAGGTTCCATCTAGTGGCAGACTTTAACACTAAGATTAGTGGGCGGGGCATCGTAGCATTCATGAATGTTAACTCCAAGCTCCGCCCCTTGATTAGGTTAAGCAACCTAGCCATTCATTTATAATAATTACTATATACTTTATTATTTACTTATAATTTGTAATTAATAAATTTCACATTTAGTTAGAAAAATCCCCTTTTGACTAGATATGAGTTAAAATACCGTCGCAAACAGGGCTATTGTGCTGAAAATAGAAGATAAGTGGGCGGAGCTTATGGATGATTTGTGATTGGCTCTTGAGGAAAATGACAACAGAGTTTCTACCAATGAAATGCAAGCGCGAGAATTCTACCTTCTGCACAATAACCAGCCGTATGGGTTGCTGTTGGCCATTTGAAAGTGCTATTTCTTGTCACTAGATGGCTCCACTATACTCATGCTCATTATCACCTCAGAATTCTTAAACATGGATGTACAGTACAATTCTTAGATATTATATGAGAACGGCATGGATGGTCATTTTCGTGACGTAATCAGTAATTTTATGCTTCCAAATAAGATTATATTTTATTATATCTGTAATAAAAGTCCAGTAAAATATTGATAACACTTTCCCGGATCCCGGGATATTTTTCTGACTACCTAAAAAGAAGCGTCATACCTGTTTTATACGCTAGACCAATGTCGGGGTGGTGTAGCTAGTCTGGGTGTGAGCGCGGAGTAGCTAGTCTGGGTGTGAGCGTGGAGTAGCTAGCGGGTCATACCTGGATCCGTGCCATTCTCCTCCCACTAAAGGCCCTCAATGTTTCGTATGATACTCCTTTATGCTTCACTTATCAGGGCCCAAGAGTCTTTATTAAATAATAATAATAATAATAATAATAATAATAATAATAATAATAATAATAGGTAATATCAATATAATAAAAATACTATTATTACTATTATAATATACACTAATTATTTAAAATATAACAAATACAAATTAGAAAATTAATAATTTGAATAATTAATAATACTGGTAACAATGTTTATCAATAATATATAGCATTGATATAAATAATAATATTTACTGCGTACAATAGAGATATTATTTTAGATTCTTAAACACCATGTTAATATTTATCTCACTTATAAAATTTCTGATATAAAGGCTATCAGGAACTATAGCAGATAACAATGCTGGCAGATTTGATCAAAAAATTAACTTCCCCTTATTAAAGAATAATTTTCTTTTATAAGGGATGGTCATAAAAGAATAATTTTCTTTTATAAGGGAATTTTTTCATTTTCATTATTTTTTCATAAGGGTCATTTTTCTGCGATTTTGAGATAGATCTTGTTTAGATAGCAATTTGACACTTGACTGTAATCACAGCAATTGGGAAAGTTATAACCGTTTGACTATCATTATGTACTCCATTGATATCAACCGTCTTCAAAGGGTAGAAAGACCAAATCTTCATATATTTGCTTTAATTAATAAGAAAAATAAATATAAAATAAAATGCTCATCTAGTACATACTCTCCAGTCAATCCCCTGGGTCTTATTCATACTATTCTTATCCGAACGATGGTCTTATCCGTACTGGGGTCTTGGAGGGGCATAAGACCTGACCTCATCAGAGTCGGGGTAGCGAGCCTCGCCCTTGTACTGGACATCAGCGATGTAGCCAGAGTCGCCGTTGACGTAGTAAGTCACGGTCTGGAGACGACCATCGGGAAGCTGTACGGAGTACGACCCTTGAGTGTTGTCGTTGTCGCGGGTCTCCTGATGACCGAAGTCGTTAGCTGAAGGAGCATCGTTGACTACCCAGTTGAAGTTGTACTGAGCGGGGCCAGTTTCCTCGGATGAGAACTAGAACGGATTAAATCATTACAATTAATCACAAGAAAAATTGTATTAAAAGTGGTACGAATATTCTAATATAAGCAATGAGCACAGTTCTTTTCTCTATTTGCAAATTCTTCATATATAAAAACTGCTTTTGTACATATATTTGTTTTTACATATACATATTCAAAGATTTATGTGCGAATACATATATACAATATTATCAAGTTTGGTCATCTGGCAATATTTGATATCTGCCTTCAAGCACTACCAGAGACTAAAATATTATGTACTAATATTATGAATCAAAGGCTGTGAACTTAGTTACATTTCCTTATCGGTTGTGTTTTCAGGAAAATATGAATTAAGATTACACACAAAAGAGGCTGCCCTTATCTCGTCTCACTATCAGTAGATATGCCATTTGATAGCCCGTTTCACAGTAGACTTATTAAGGGCATTATGCGAGCAACACTCGTCTGATGCAACACTCGTCTATTGCATCACTAGATTGACCTACGTCTGATGATTTCATAATTTAAATACATCTACAACGCGAGACTCTACAAGCACTACAGAATACTACCTGCGGAGCACCGTAGGAGAAAGAGGGCCGCTTGTCTGCGGCAGTCACGGCCGCCATGCACACCAGGAAGAAAATCTGAAATGTATAATAGTTTTGAAAGGGGGGGGGGGTAATATTCGTATGCTTATATTATACAAAAATACTAAGAGGTTGTGGTTGTGGTGTATTTTATGTCTGTCAACCGCAGAAGGACGTTCAAACAAGGGCTGTATACAACGAGATGTATATCTCACTTCTTGATGTATATACACTGAGAGTTTTATTTAGTCCTAGACTATGTTTAGGACTGAAGTATACTTGCTGGTTGGACAGTAAATTATTGTGGTGGCCTCAATACCCTTCCATAGGTTGATAGATCTGAAGTCCAATACCAAACTTGTTGGTTAGTTAGCAAGTTCTTGTGAGTGGTCTAAATAGCTCTTCATAGCCTGATTGGTCGTAAGCCCAACATCAAACCAAACTGCCGTAGGGTTACTGACCATAACAATAACATACCAAACAACCAGCAAGCTCAGTAAAGTACACCTTCAGTTTATATACACCGAGAAGGAAGGAACAGCTCCCAGTGAATATATCTATATTAAGATAGTAACTAGCCTTGGAGTTCATTGTGCTGAGTCGGTGGAGGGAACTTCACTGCCAGACAGCGGGATTCTCTTCTACTTATATCCCATCCCGCTAGGAGCCGCTGGACTACTTTTTGTACGATGCTGCAGATGGAGCAGAGGAAACCCTGGTTTGTGGGGGCAAGGTGTTGCGTGAAGCCCCACGCCCTCGCCGGGGGCCACATATTTCTTGAAATAAAATTTTATGAAGGTTGAACTGGAACATACACGCATTCACTGGATTAATGTACTCTGTCAGCGCTCGGTGCTGAATTCAACTGCTTTACTAATTGTTCTGAGAAAGAGAAAATAAAGAGAAAGAGTGAGTGTACCCTCTCTCTCTCTCTCCCTATATATTCTCTTTCTCTTGGAACACTGAGTAAAGCAGTTGAAATCAGCATCAAGCGCTGACAGAGTGCACTAATCCGGTGTTCCCCTCCCCTGATACTGCCATAACCATGCCTACCAGCCATTAAACATTCATCCTTATAACATCATAGTCAATTGCCCTCCCATATACCTCCAGAATATACTCTCCTTCGTGAAGTCCCTCTTTCTGTCACTGTCTAAGGAACTGGTATACCAATGCTGGCAGAATGTCAGAGGAGATGACTCGACGAAAGGATTATCAACACAAACACTCATGCAATATCAGTAGTAATGATTAAATTAACTGGAAAGATCACTAATGTATTATTTCACAGAGAATATCAGATAAAACAGGTTAAAGGAACCATAGGATGAGAATAGTGAGGGAATATAGTAGTAGACACAACTGGATAAATTTAATATATATAAAGAGAAGACAACTATACATGTTTGTGGAAATCATGGCTGAAAAAACAAATAACTAACGCTCCTGAAAATTGAGGAAGCGACGACGTTTCGGTCCATCATCAAGACTCGATAATAGTCTAATACAGATCGAAACTTTGCTATTCCTTTATTTTCTGATATGTGAGCTGGTTGTCCCACATGGAGATATATTAAACAAGCCTAATTGAAAGTCTTTAGAAAGGGAGGAACAAAGTTAAGTATTACGAATTAGTCAATAGTTCCCTTCAAAAGAATTGCTGGATTATTTCAACATAAGTCTAACAAACAGATGAGTGATTTAAGTGTATATAAATTGAAGCTACATTGCATGGACAATATTCTTTCTTTTGTATACACCTGGAGAGACTTTCGTGTTCCCCGTAAAGTGTTTATATCTCTATGAGAGTCCATGTTAGTTTCTTACACTCGCAGAAATGCCTGTCGAGACCTCATCTTTCTAACCAATAATTTTTCCCTGTTATGCCAACTACATGTATTTCTCTATAACACACTCATCTCCAGGAAGCCTATAGCAGCTGTTTAACTCCCAGGTACTTATTTACTGAAAGGTGAACAAGCGCATCAAGTAAAAGAGTCTCTGCTCATTTATTTCTGTCTCGGTCGGAAATCGAACCCGGGCAGTTAGGACTAACACCCCCAAGCGCTGTCCACTCAGCCACGAGACCCTGTGTGTGTCTAGCATATTTACTTCCGATTTATGGTAATTGTTACGTGATTTGAGTCGTTTAGATAACAAAAATTTCCTAAAGATTATTTCAGAATTTTTCGATACCTATTCTTTACTTTTCGTACTTGTCTTTTAGAATGTTGAACGTTGAAATGTAGTCTTTTAAGTTTTTTTTAGGGGGGGGGGAGCGCAATTTCTACTTTTTATATAACATTTCCACTTCAAATATAAGTTTACATAAACTCACAACATCGTTGGTTTGGGGGTTTGCACTCTTTTACGTATACAATATCTTGCATGAAACACGTATTAATGTCCGGGGAGTTTAAGTTTGATTGTTCGCATTTTGTTTCCGTCACAATCTTCTGTAAAAAGGGAAAGTTTGTTGTCTTAACTCCTGTACTGCCTAGCAAGTCGTTAAGACCAACTCATTTTAACTCCTGTTCTGACTGGCAAGTCTTTATGACCAACTCGTTTTCTGGACTTCATTGCAAGCGACTTACGGCAGGTTATCAGTCCAAATTACTATTTGACAAAATAGTTATTACCAGTTATGAATTCAACAATAAAAATTAAGCTTGACTATATTAAATTTTAATATATAAATGATGTGTGTGGGGAAGCGTTGGTAATTGTAATGATTACAAAGATGAGGAACATCAGACTAGGTGGAATCATCACATTATCACCCTCAAAAAAGAGAATTGTGTTGAGAGAGCAAATGTTAAAGATGTGGTTATCAAACCACACAGCAGAAGATGAAGAGACAACGACGTTTTGGTCCGTCTTGGACCATTATTATTACGTTAAAGATCCCGTCCTGTTTTCCTTTTCACTACACATTGCTGGTTTACAGAGCAGGGCATTTATTGGTTTGGTGATGGGACTATGTCTGCCAGTCTCTGGATGGTTATAAAGAACACAACACCTTATTTACCTACCGACATTAATCCGTCCGTCTTAAAATAGTTCTTGACTAAAATAAACTCTTATCTTAAATACACACATAAAATAATATATATTACCAATTATAAAATGTGTAGTGCTAGCTTTATTTAAGTACAACTTTCAATCGAATTTTTTCAAACTACAAAACACTATAAAAAACTTAGAATTTAAAAAAAAATACTCTACCAATTACCTAATATATTTAGAAATTCATATTAAAGTATGATATTAATATCATTTATTAAAAAATGTATCAAGATTTATCCGTTTGCTTCGTGTTTGTTTTTCTAAAATAAAAAAGTTGCAAAAGTTCTTAATAAATAAGGGTAACTATAGAAAAATAGGAAAACATATTGGCAAACGCTAAATATTTGTATCAATTTGACAGGTTACGATGATGTCACAAATGTCAGAATTCTTCTAATTAACGAATTTTTATGTATAACAACAATGTTTAACTCTCTATTAGGTGCATGATCACAATGTCATCTCCTGTAATGTTAATGATTTTAGAAATTGCGAAATTTTCTTCGTTTTCTGTAATGCTAAACTCTGTTGACGTTAATTGCAGTGTAAACCTTTGTATAACGTCATATGACGTGTTTCGCAGCCTAAAGGTTAATCAATGTCTGACAATAAAATCATGCAGTGACAACTTATAGGAGTGTTCAAATGTAATATTCAGAAAATGAACAATGGCAAGAGGGAAATAATAGTTTTGCAATGAATGGAAATATTTTTGTATTTTTCACATACATAAGTGCAAGCTATCAATAGACAACATAAATAAATAAGCATTTGTACAATCAGCCGTAGTCATTCATTCGCCAAAAAATATCATTGGGGCATGTTCTTATCCGTACTAGGGTCATATCTGTACAGTGTTCTTATCCGAACGATGGTCTTATCCGTACTGGGGTCTTGGAGGGGCATAAGACCTGACCTCATCAGAGTCGGGGTAGCGAGCCTCGCCCTTGTACTGGACATCAGCGATGTAGCCAGAGTCGCCGTTGACGTAGTAAGTGACGGTCTGGAGACGACCATCGGGAAGCTGTACGGAGTACGACCCTTGAGTGTTGTCGTTGTCGCGGGTCTCCTGATGACCGAAGTCGTTAGCTGAAGGAGCATCGTTGACTGCCCAGTTGAAGTTGTACTGAGCGGGGCCAGTTTCCTCGGATGAGAACTAGAACGGATTAAATCATTACAATTAATCACAAGAAAAATTATATTAAAAGTGGTACGAATATTTTAATGTAAGCAATGAACACAGTTCTTATCTCTATTTGCAAATTCTTCATATATAAAAACTGCTTTTTTACATATATTCGTGTTTACATATACATATTCAAAGATTTATGTGCGAATACATATATACAATATTATCAAGTTTAGTCATCTTGCAATATTTTATATCTGCCTTTAAGCACTACCAGAGACTAAAATATAATATACTAATATTAAGAATCAAAGGCTGTGAACCTAGTTAAATTTCCTTATCGGTTATGTTTCCAGGAAAATATGACTTAAGATTACACACAAAAGAGGCTGCCCTTATCTCGTCTCACTATCAGTAGATATGCCATTTGATAGACCGTTTCACAGTAGACTTATTAAGGGCATTATGCGAGCAACACTCGTCTGATGCAACACTCGACTATTGCATCACTAGATTGACCTACGTCTGATGATTTCATAATTTAAATACATCTACAACGCGAGACTCTACAAGCACTACAGAATACTACCTGCGGAGCACCGTAGGAGAAAGAGGGCCGCTTGTCTGCGGCAGTCACGGCCGCCATGCACACCAGGAAGAAAATCTGGAATGTATAATAGTTTTGAAAGGGTAATATTCGTATACTTATACAGTATTATACAAATATACTTAGAGGTTGTGATTGTGATGTATTTTACGTCTGTCAACCGCAGAAGGACGTTCAAACAAGGGCTGTATACAACGAGATGTATATCTCATTTCTTGATGTATATACACTGAGAGTTTTATTTAGTCCTAGACTATGTTTAGGACTGAAGTATACTTGCTGGTTGGACAGTAAATTAGTGTGGTGGCCTCAATACCCTTCCATAGGTTGATAGATCTGAAGTCCAATACCAAACTTGTTGGTTAGTTAGCAAGTTCTTGTGAGTGGTCTAAATAGCTCTTCATAGCCTGATTGGTCGTAAGCCCAACATCAAACCAAACTGCCGTAGGGTTACTGACCATAACAATAACATACCAAACAACCAGCAAGCTCAGTAAAGTACACCTTCAGTTTATATACACCGAGAAGGAAGGAACAGCTCCCAGTGAATATATCTATATTAAGATAGTAACTAGCCTTGGAGTTCATTGTGCTGAGTCGGTGGAGGGAACTTCACTGCCAGACAGCGGGATTCTCTTCTACTTATATCCCATCCCGCTAGGAGCCGCTGGACTACTTTTTGTACGATGCTGCAGATGGAGCAGAGGAAACCCTGGTTTGTGGGGGCAAGGTGTTGCGTGAAGCCCCACGCCCTCGCCGGGGGCCACATATTTCTTGAAATAAAATTTTATGAAGGTTGAACTGGAACATACACGCATTCACTGGATTAATGAACTCTGTCAGCGCTCGGTGCTGAATTCAACTGCTTTACTAATTGTTCTGAGAGAGAAAAAATAAGGAGAAAGAGTGAGTGTACCCTCTCTCTCTCCCTATATATTCTCTTTCTCTTGGAACACTGAGTAAAGCAGTTGAAATCAGCACCAAGCGCTGGCAGAGTGCACTAATCCGGTGTCCCCCCCCCTGATACTGCAATAACCATGCCTACCAGCCATTAAACATTCATCCTTATAACATCATAGTCAATTGCCCTCCCATATACCTCCAGAATATACTCTCCTTCGTGAAGTCCCTCTTTCTGTCACTGTCTAAGGAACTGGTATACCAATGCTGGCAAAATGTCAGAGGAGATGAACTCGACGAAAGGACTATCAGCACAAACACTCATGCAATATCAGTAGTAATGATTAAATTAACTGGAAAGATCACTAATGTATTATTTCACAGAGAATATCAGATAAAACAGGTTAAAGGAACCACAGGATGAGAATAGTGAGGGAATATAGTAGTAGACACAACTGGATAAATTTAATATATATAAAGAGAAGACAACTATACATGTTTGTGGAAATCATGCCTGAAAAAACAAATAACTAACGCTCCTGAAAATTAAGGAAGCGACGACGTTTCGGTCCATCATCAAGACTCGATAATAGTCTAATACAGATCGAAACTTTGCTATTCCTTTATTTTCTGATATGTGAGCTGGTTGTCCCACATGGAGATATATTAAACAAGCCTAATTGAAAGTCTTTAGAAAGGGAGGAACAAAGTTAAGTATTACGAATTAGTCAATAGTTCCCTTCAAAAGTATTGCTGGATTGTTTCAACATAAGTCTAACAAACAGATGAGTGATTTAAGTGTATATAAATTGAAGCTACATTGCATGGACAATATTCTTTCTTTTGTGTACACCTGGAGACACTTTCGTGTTCCCCGTAAAGTGTTTATATCTCTATGAGAGTCCATGTTAGTCTTACACTCGCAGAAATGCCTGTCGGGACCTCATCTTTCTAACCGATAATTTTTCCCTGTTACGCCAACTACATGTATTTCTCTATAACACACTCATCTCCAGGAAGCCTATAGCAGCTGTTTAACTCCCAGGTACTTATTTACTGAAAGGTGAACAAGCGCATCAAGTAAAAGAGTCTCTGCTCATTTATTTCTGTCTCGGTCGGAAATCGAACCCGGGCAGTTAGGACTAACACCCCAAAGCGCTGTCCACTCAGCCACGAGACCCTGTGTGTGTCTAGCATATTTACTTCCGATTTATGGTAATTGTTACGTGATTTGAGTCGTTTAGATAACAAATATTTCCTAAAGATTATTTCAGAATTTTTCGATACCTACTCTTTACTTTTCGTACTTGTTGTCTTTTTAGAATGTTGAACGTTGAAATGTAGTCTTTTAAGTTTTCTTAGGGGGAGGGGGAGCGCAGTTTCCATAACATTTCCACTTCTAATGTAAGTTTACAGAAACTTACAACATCGTTGGTTTGGAGGTTTGCACTCTTTTACGTATACAATATCTTGCATGAAACACGTAATAATGTCCGGGGAGTTTAAGTTTGATTGTTCGCATTTTGTTTCCGTCACAATCTTCTGTAAAAAGGGAAAGTTTGTTGTCTTAACTCCTGTACTGCCTAGCAAGTCTTTAAGACCAACTCAGTTTAACTCCTGTTCTGACTGGCAAGTCTTTAAGACCAACTCATTTTCTGGGCTTCATAGCCAGCGACTTACGGCAGGTTATCAGTCCAAATTACTATTTGACAAAATAGTTATTACCAGTTATGAATTCAACAATATAAATTAAGCTTGTCTATATTAAATTTTAATATAGAAATGATGTGTGTGGGGAAGCGTTGGTAATTGTAATGATTACAAAGATGAGGAACATCAGACTAGGTGGAATCATCACATTATCACCCTCAAAAAAGAGAATTGCGTTGAGAGAGCAAATGTTAAAGATGTGGTGATCAAACCTCACACCAGAAGATGAAGAGACAACGACGTTTTGGTCCGTCTTGGACCATTATTATTACGTTAAAGATCCCGTCCTGTTTTCCTTTTCACTACACATTGCTGGTTTATGAGCAGGGCATTTATCGGTTTGGTGATGGGACTATGTCTGCCAGTCTCTGGATGTTATAAAGAACACAACACCTTATTTACCTACCGACATTAATCCGTCCGTCTTAAAATAGTTCTTGACTAAAATAAACTCTTATCTTAAATACACACATAAAATAATATATATTACTAATTATAAAATGTGTAGTGCTAGCTTTATTTAAGTACAACTTTCAATCGAATTTTTTCAAACTGCAAAACACTATAAAAAACTTAGAATTTAAAAAAAAATACTCTACCAATTACCTAATATATTTAGAAATTCATATTAAAGTATGATATTAATATCATTTATTAAAAAATGTATCAAGATTTATCCGTTTGCTTCGTGTTTGTTTTTCTAAAATAAAAAAGTTGCAAAAGTTCTTAATAAATAAGGGTAACTATAGAAAAATAGGAAAACATATTGGCAAACGCTAAATATTTGTATCAATTTGACAGGTAAGGATGATGTCACAAATGTCAGAATTCTTCTAATTAACGAATTTTTATGTATAACAACAATGTTTAACTCTCTATTAGGTGCATGATCACAATGTCATCTCCTGTAATGTTAATGATTTTAGAAATTGCGAAATTTTCTTCGTTTTCTGTAATGCTAAACACTGTTGACGTTAATTGCAGTGTAAACCTTTGTATAACGTCATATGACGTGTTTCGCAGCCTAAAGGTTAATCAATGTCTGACAATAAAATCATGCAGTGACAACTTATAGGAGTGTTCAAATGTAATATTCAGAAAATGAACAATGGCAAGAGGGAAATAATAGTTTAGCAATGAATGGAAATATTTTTGTATTTTTCACATACATAAGTGCAAGCTATCAATAGACAACATAAATAAATAAGCATTTGTACAATCAGCCGTAGTCATTCATTCGCCAAAAAATATCATTGGGGCATGTTCTTATCCGTACTAGGGTCATATCTGTACAGTGTTCTTATCCGAACGATGGTCTTATCCGTACTGGGGTTTTGGAGGGGCATAAGACCTGACCTCATCAGAGTCGGGGTAGCGAGCCTCGCCCTTGTATTGGACATCAGCGATGTAGCCAGAGTCGCCGTTGACGTAGTAAGTGACGGTCTGGAGACGACCATCGGGAAGCTGTACGGAGTACGACCCTTGAGTGTTGTCGTTGTCGCGGGTCTCCTGATGACCGAAATCGTTAGCTGAAGGAGCATCATTGACTGCCCAGTTGAAGTTGTACTGGGCGGGGCCAGTTTCCTCGGATGAGAACTAGAGTAACAAAATCACTTGTTAATACTTCACACCAGTCAGAACCAATAGGAAAACTCAGCAGGCGAAAATACGGTTCATACAACATGTAAGCACATGTACATACATGTTGTATAAGTACATATAACATATATTCAACAATTCAGTTATCATAGGATTGTAAATTTAAAAGAAACCTTCTTACAAGTAATAAACAATAACTTCAGTGACCCATATTGTGGATGGGATCAGAGCTCTGTTTTTCCTATCCGGGTTATGATTTCATCAAGAATATCCCTTATGAAACCTATACATCTTTCTTTAATCATGATAGCTTTGTTTACATTAATTAAACAGTTTACAAGCTCGGAAACTTCACAACCCCGTTGTGCTTCGGAGCTCACAAACTGTTCAAAAACGTAAATATAAACAAAGAAGCTGGGATTGTTAAAAGATATACATATTTCGTAAATGGATGAGCAAATTCTTGATGAATCCTGATCCTGGCTTGCTCTAGTTACCTGGCACACCTGGTATGGGTGCCTTAACCCAGCAATTATTATTTATATGTGTGTAATAGCATTTGAAGGGATTTAATAAGCAAGAGAATATATATATAATTACCCTGGGAGCGCCATAGGAGAAGGAGGGACGTTTGTCAGCAACAGCGACAGCTCCCACACATAGCATTAGGAAAATCTGAAATAGCAATAAATTTTTATATATTTGGCTTTGAAAATACCGGCTTGTGTATCAGTGTTTGTGATATATTCGCCCACACTACTCACTATTGCTTATGAATGGTATCTACATACCTCCACTACCGTGATACCGCTATCTCAAACCTTGCTGAGGAAGACCTAGATAGACAAGGCTTCCTATCCACGGCAAATGAAAACCAAACATACAAGAACGCAAAAGCTATATATATATACCTTGGAGTTCATTGTGATTCGTTGGAAGGAGCAAGCTTCACTGTCTGGTTGCCCGGACGCCACCTGCTTATATTCCACCTGGCGTGACGCACTGGAACAGCTTTTTGTAAACAAATATGACGTAGTGGCCGCGAAAACTTGATATGTTGCGCGAGGTATTGCGTCCCGTGTGTATTATATCCTGCGGCGGGTGTATCGCCTTCATTGATCACGGCGGGAGGCAGACACAGCAGCTGCATGGGGTAAAAAAAAAGGGCGGCAACAAGGAGAAAGTGAATGAGTAAAGGAGTTTCAGGGCCACCGCGCGGCCTTCCCGTGGCAGGCAAGTAAGGCGCATGCGCAGTCCTCATCGTCCTACAGAGGAATGTAGGCTCTTTCAGGGTCGTCTTAACGGCATTATGGGCCTTTCAAGAAATAGCCAAACTCACTCAGCAGCTCTAGTATACCTGAATAGTTGCCATTTTCTTGCCGACCCCATAATCTGATTTTCTCCAGGATATGGCAAACCTCTGGAGACAAGAAAGCGAATTACAGAAACCACACGTCAACACTTTAAGGT